TACACAGCGCGCAATCGCCCAGCCGCCCGCCTGCCCTCGGGGTGCCGTCGTCGCTCCCTCCTGCTCGTCTCATCGAGCGGTCGCCCGGGCTTCGCCCTCCGCCCTCTTCGCGGCGGGCGTCCCCCGTCGTTCGCTCGCCTCTCTCCCCTGGCTCCGGGCGCGTCCTGGTCCCTGGCGTCGTTCCTTTCTGTGCCCCTCGCTGCTGCTGCTGCTGCTGCTGCTGCTGCTGCTGCTGCTGCTGCTGCTGCTGCTGCTGCTGCTGCTGCTCTTCTGGGTCGTCCACCGTGCGGGCTTTTTGCCGGGCAGGGATGTGCATGGACAGAGTCGTGTGTACCGATTCTGGCGTGGGCCGCTCTGGCTGCACTGCGTGCAGAGTTTCTGGCGGACCTGTGATGCCAGCGAGCACTCGCAGCGAACCACCAGCAGGCCAGGTCGCCCTGTCCCACAGTCCTCCTCCTCCCCTTTCCCTTCCTTAGCTTGCGATGCATGGCTCCAGTTCTGCATGTTCTGTCTTTTTCTTCATGGGCGCGGCCGGGGTTGACCTCCCGATGCGCTTACTCGCCCTGCACGCAGGTCGACAGCTGCAGGGACAGCGTCGCCCGCATTCCGCCGGGGTTCGACACGGTGGAGCTCGCCGGTCGCTGAGCCCTTTCTGGCCTTGCATTTCCTGCTGGTCCTTGGCCGGCATGGTTGCGTGCTTCAGGGTGGTGGGCATGAGGTTGCATTCAATGCAGTTTATTGTCAAGTCGTCGCCGTGAGTGTGTTATTTCAGTTTGCTGTATTGTACGCCGGCCGGTCTTGGCATTGGCTCCTCTGCTTCGGCTGCGAGGCCGTCTGCTAGCTTGTAGTTGTTCGTCCTTCCACCCCCCCTCATCCCCCTCCTCTTCCGCCCTCCCCCGCTCGCGTCGGGCACCTGCGCGAATCCTGCCGTCTTCACCGGTAAGGGGTGCGCACGGGCGAGTTTCGTTCCAGCGGCGTGGTATAGCAGTGTGTCTCAGTTATGCGCAATTTGCCTCTTGCCGCAGAGTGCGCGTTCATGCCAGGACGTCGACGCTGCACTGACAAAAAAACAGCCGACATCGAGCGATCCGATCTACTGGGTAGCCGCGATCGTTCAAGGCTGAACGAGCCGCGCGGTGTCAGAAGCCAGCACCGCCGCCACCACGACGTTGACCTGCCGCGCTCCCGCGCCGCAGTCGCGCAGGGCCCAGGCGGACCGCGCCGCAACCCGCGGTCCGCCCAGCCCGACGCCACATCCGCCGACCCCTCTGCATGGCGGCCGCGGGCACCTGCTTCCGTGCTGCGGGGCCGATCGGGCAGGGTCTTGTCGGAGCTGCTGATGAGTGGGGGGGAGGAGGTCACCACCCACCAAACCACCTCAACTTAACCCGAAGGCCTCAATCTGCCCATTATGGTGGAATACATGCCCCGGTCAGCCGGTCAGCCGGTCAGCCGGTCAACCGGTCAGCCGGTCAGCCGGTCAACAGGTCAACCGGTCAACCGGTCAACCTGGTCAGCCGGTCAGCAGGTCAGCCGGTCAACCGGTCAGCCGGTCACCCGGTCAGCCGGTCAACCGGTCAGCCGGTCAACCGGTCAACCGGTCAGCCGGTCACCCGGTCACCCGGTCACCCGGTCACCCGGTCAATTTGGTCATGAGGTCAGCCAGTCAACCGGTCAGCCGGTCACCCGGTCAGCCGGTCAACCGGTCAACTGGTCAACCGGTCAACCGGTCAGCCAGTCACCCGGTCTTCCGGTCGCCTGCTCACCCGGTCACCCGGTCACCCGGTCACCCGGTCACCCGGTCAGCCGGTCAACCGGTCAACTGGTCACCCGGTCACCCGGTCACCCGGTCACCCGGTCACCAAGTCACCGGTCATCCGGTCACCCGGTCAGCCGGTCAACCGGTCAGCCGGTCAACCGGTTCCGGTCGCCCGGTCACCCGGTCATCCGGTCAACGTTTCCGTGCTGGTCACCCGGTCAGCCGGTCAACCGGTCAGCCCGTCAGCCGCGGTCAATTGGTCAACCGGTCAACCGGTAAATGGTTCAGTGCCGGTCAGCGAGTCCGGTAATTATGATGATGACGACGACGATGATGGTGATGATGTCGATGATGTGAATGCTGATGATGAATGTGGTGCTTATGATGGTGAGAGCGATGATGACGACGACGACGACGATGACGATGACGATGAAGATGAAGATGAAGATGACGACGATGATGATGATGATGATGATGATGATGATGATGATGATGATGATGATGATGATGATGATGATGATGATGATGATGATGATGGTAATGATTATTATTATGATGATTATGATGATGATAAGTATGATGATGAGTATGATTATGATGCTGCTGATGATGATGACGATTATGATGATGACGACAATGATGATGATGATGATGATGATGATGATGATGATGATGATGATGATGATGATGATGATGATGCGGATGAGGATGAGGATGATCATGATGATGATGAGGATGATGATGATGATGCTGATGACGACGATGACGACGATGATGATGAGGAGGAGGAGGAGTTTGATGATGATGCTGATGCTGCTGCTGCTGCTGCTGCTGCTGCTGATGAGGATGAGGATGAGGATGATGATGATGATGATGATGATGATGATGATGATGATGATGATGATGATGATGATGATGATGATGATGATGATGATGATGATGATGATGATGATGATGATGTGGAGGAGGAGGAGGAGGAGGAGGAGGAGGAGGAGGATCGCGCATGATACCACAATCGTCCCCTCTCTCACACACATATATATATATAGATATTGTGCCTGTGCTGGGGCTCCCTCGGGACTCTCTTGGGGCGCCCTTCTTTTCTGTTGAGGTGTTGGGTTCCTATGGGGCTGTTTTCAGGGTCTTCGGCTGTGGGGTACTTTTGACTGGCCCTCGGAGTCTCTGGAAAGCCTCTTGGGGGATCTTGGAGAGCATCGCTCACCCAAGGCGGGTCTTCGAGCGCGGCCCCCCACTGAGGGGCCTTCTACATCCTTGCTCGGAGCTACCTGGGTCACTTTGCTCCTTGTGGAAGCCGCCTTCGCGTGGACCGATGGGTCCAATGACATGAGGTTTTGCGAAGGGCCGGCTGTTTCTCAGAGGAGCCAGGGCGCTCCTCCCCCCTACGTTGCTCCCTCATGGAGGATGGTCTCGCATGGATTTCTTCCTCGGAATCCGTGCGGCCCCGCGTAGGACTGCCATGGTCTAGGGGGAACCTTGGGTCCACGTGTTTTCCTGTGGGCCCCTCTCAATTACGTGATGTTTTGCGCTGGGTCGGTTTGTTATCCGGAGGGACCATGGGTTCCCCTCCCCCGACGTGTTTCCCTCTGGAAGGGCGGTTCCGCGCAGAGTTCTTCCTCGGATTCCGTTCGTTTTCGCGAAGGACTGGCTCGTTTTGAATGAGGAACCCCGGGTTCACGTTGCTCCTTGCGGGTGCCGGGTTTCGCGTGGGCCTGTCGTTCCCATTACGTGCTGTTTTGCACAGGGCTGGTCTGTTTTAGGAGGACGTACGGCCCCCCCCGATGTTGTTCCCTCTGGGACAGTGGTTTCGCGCGCACTTCTTCCTCGTAGTCCGTGCGGCTTTGCGGAGGGCTGGCTGGTTTCTAGGAGGAACCTTGGGTTCACGTTGCTCCCAAAGGAAGCCAGTTTCGTGTGGACTCCCCAATGGCGTGAGATTTTGCGTCGGGCTGGGCTGTTCTAAGGAAAGCCATGGCCCCTTTCCCGATATTGCCAGCCCCTCCTAGAAATACGCCTGCCTTTCGAACAAATCAAGGCAGGCGGCGGGCCTCCCCATGCGCGCCCACAGAGGCCCCAAGCGCGCCCGCAAAGGCGACAGCACGCGGCCCACAGAGGCCCCGGACACAGCCCACAGAGGCCCCCAGCTCGCCCACAGAGGCCCCAGCACGCTGCCGACAGAGGCCCCAGCACGCTGCCCACAGAGGCCCCAGACATTGCCCACAGAGGCCCCAAGCGCGCACAGAAGCCCCAGCACGCCGCCCACAGAGGCCCCAGCACGCTGCCCACAGAGGCCCCAGACACTGCCCACAGAGGCCTCAAGCGCGCACAGAGGCCCCACCACATTGCCCACAGAGGCCCCAGCACGCTGCCCACAGAGGCCCCAGACATTGCCCACAGAGGCCGCAAGCGCGCACAGAGGTCCAGCACTCTGCCCACAGAGGCCCCAGCACGCTGCCCACAGAGGCCCCAGACATTGCCCACAGAGGCCCCAAGCGCGCCCACAAAGGCCCCAGCACTCTGCCCACAGAGGCCTCAGACGCAGCCCGCAGAGGCCCCAAGCGCGCCCGCAAAGGCACCAGCACGCTGCCCACAGAGGCCCCAAGCGCGCTCACCGAGGCCCCACCACATTGCCCACAGAGGCCCCAGCAGGCTGCCGCCACAGGCCCCAAACACAAGGGCACGCTGCTCACAGGCTTGGGCTTTCTCCCGCACGGGGCTGGCCCTAGGTATGCTCGCCCCCTGCTTGGATTTCTACGAATGGCTGGCGTGTTTCTAGGAGGAACCCTGGTTCGCCGTCCCCTGCATACGCAATTTGCCAAGGGCTGGCTCGTTTCTTGGCACAACCTGGCCTCCCCCCCCTTCCCCCCTCCTCCTCCTCCTCCTCCTCCTCCTCCTCCTCCTCCTCCTCCTCCTCCTTCTCCTCCTCCTCCTTCCGTGTTCGCCCTTCCCGGCTACCCACCCTTTTGCCCTGCCCGTTTTTGCTTACGTTTCTTCATGCTCATCCGCACAGGGGGCGCTTGTTTCTAGGAGGAACCGTCGTTCCCTCATGTTTTGTTGGACGACCCCTCGATCCTGACAGTGCAGCTTTTCCCGGAGGCCTGCGCTTTCTCCCACGTGGGGCTGGCCCTGGGCATGCTCGCTCCTTGCGTGGATTTTTGCGAGGGGCTGGCGTGCTTCTAGGAGGAACGCTGGTATGCTCGCCCCCTGCATACACAATTTGCCGAGGGCTGGCTCGTTTCTAGGCACAACCTGGGTTTCCCCTCCCCTTCCCCTCTCCTCTTCCCGCGTTCGCCCATCCCGGCTACCCTCGTTCGCACAGGGCCGGCTTGTTTCTAGAAGGAACCGTCGTTCCCCCATGTTTTGTTGGATGTTCCTTGGATCCTGACGGCGCGGCTTCTCTCAAATGCTTGCGTTTCTCCCGCATGGGGCTGGCCCTGGCCATGCTCGCCCCCTGCATGGACTTTTGCGAAGGGCTGGCGTGTTTCTGGGGGGGACCCTGGTTTGCTGGCCCCCTGCATACACAATTTGCCCAGGGTTGGTTCGTTTCCAAACACAACCTGGGCTTCCTCTCCCCCGCCATTTTCCTCCTCCTTCAATGTTCGCCCGTCCCGGCTACCCCGCCTTTTGCCCTGTCCGTTTTTGCTAACGTCTCTTCGTGTTCTTTCGCACATGGCCGGCTTGTTTCTAGGAGGAGGAACTGTCGTTCCCTCATGTTTTGCTGGATGTCCCCTGGTTCGTGACAGTGCGGTTTTTCCCACAATCTTGCGCTTTCTCCCACATGGGGCTGGCCCTGGACATGCTCGCTCCTTCCAAGGATTTTTGCGAATGGTTGGCGTGCTTCTAGGAGGAACCCTGGTGTGCTCGCCCCCTGCATACACAATTTGCCCAGGGCTGGCTCGTTTCTAGGCACAACCTGGGTTCCCCCTCCCCCTCCCCACTCCTCCTCCTCCTCCTCCTCCTCCTCCTCCTCCTCCTCCTCCTCCTCCTCCTCCTCCGCCTTCTCTTTCTCCTCCTCCTCCTCCTCCTCTTGTTCCTCCTCCTCCTCCTCCTCCTCCTCCTCCTCCTCCTTCCATGTGGGCCCACCCCGGTTACCCAGCTTTTTGCTTGTCTGTTTTTGTGTACGTTTCTTCATGTTCTTTCGCGCAGGGGTCGCTTGTTTCTAGGAGGAACCGTCGTTCCCTCATGTTTTGCTGGATGCCCCCTGGTTCGTGACAGTGCGGCTTTTCCCAGAATCTTGCGTTTTCTCCCACATGGGGCTGGCCCTGGACATGCTCGCTCCTTCCAAGGATTTTTGCGAATGGTTGCCGTGCTTCTAGGAGGAACCCTGGTGTGCTCGCCCCCTGCATACACAATTTGCCCAGGGCTGGCTCGTTTCTTCTTCTTCTTTCTCTCTTTTCTTCTTTCTCTGTCTTCTCGCTTCTTATGAGGCCGTGACCTGAGTTCCCCTCCACCCTCCCCAGTCCTGTCCTGCTCTCCCGTCCTCCTTTTTCCCTCCTCCTCCTCCTCCTCCTCCTCCTCTTCCCCCCTCCTCCTTCTCCTCCT